AGGTATAGGTACACCCCACCATGCCTGTCTGCTGATACACCAGGGAGGCATTTGCTGCAGTTGCTGCAGCAAATCAGGTAAATAACGAGCAGGTAGGACCTCCATACTCTTCTTCTCCTCTTTGCTGCTGCTGCTGCTGCTGCTGCTGCTGCTGCTGTTGCTGCTGCTGATGCTGCTGTCTTGTTTGCTGCTAGATGCTGCATCTGATGACCTCTGTAGACCCTCCAAGACAGGCAGAGACACCTCCTGCTGCTGCTGCTGCTGCTGCTGCTGCTGCTGCTGCTGTTGCTGCTGTGCTGCTTGGGGGCTGAGTAGCTGAATAACTTGTTGTGCTGCTGTATCTGCAGCAAAGAACCATTGGTCCTTTATACGAGTAACTGTCTCCTTTTTCCTTAGGCAGCAAAGGAGACACTTTTGCTGCTCTCTGCTCAGGTGTATAGGCAGCTCACCACACAGCAGCAACACTGCTATTATTGCCCTCTCTCTTGCTGCTTCCTGCTGCTCCTGCTGCTCCTCTTTCTGCTCCTCCTGCTGCAGTTGCTGCTCCCCGTTCTTGTTGTCTTGTTGGTCTTGATGCTGCTGCTTATCTTGCTGCTGCTGCTGCTGCTGCTGCTGTCCAGCAGCAGCAACACGCAATGCTGCTTCGATGCATGCAGGCAGCTTTGCTGCTCCTGGTGTTGCTTCCCACTCTAAGGCAGCAAAACCAGGAACTAGATTGCTGCTGTTGCTGCTGCTGCTGTTGCTGCTGCTGCTGTTGCTGCTGCTGCTGTTGCTGCTGCTGCATGCGCTGCTAGAAATATACTGGCTTGCTGCAGTAACATGCGGGTGTCTCTTCTCCCCTCTCTCCTGCAGCAGCAAGGGGACTTTGCGCTGCAGCAGCGGGAGGACAGCCATCGTCTTCTGCTGCTGCTGCTGCTGTTGCTGCTGCTGCTGCTGCTGCTGCTGTTGCAGCTTCTGGTAGACAGCTGCATCATCAACAACAACAGCAGCAGAGTGCAGCAAATCACGCAGCGACCCCACAGGCAGCAGCAGCCGCTGCGCTTCTTGTGCAGCACCACCGCTGCTGCTTCTGCTGCTGTTGCTGTTGCTGCTGCTGCTGCTGCTGCTGCTGCTGCTGCTGGAGTTGGAGGCGAGGGGTACCTCTAAGAATAATCCTCCTTCCCATTTTCCGTCTCGCAGCAAAGAAGTTAATAATTCGTCCTGGCCCTGCTGCTGCTGCTGCTGCTGCTGTTGCTGCTGCTGCTGCTGCTGTTGCTGCTGCTGTGGTAGCAGCCAGAGCTCATTAGGGACAACAACTGTTGGGTATGTGTCTCCTTTTCTTCCTCTTAGTGTCTGCAGCACAGCTAGCTGTCTCCTTATGAGTCCCTTTTGCTGCAGCAGCACGAATGCAGCACGTGCTGCAGCAACAGCAGCAGGAGACACCGTGCTGCTGCTGCCTGCATGCCAGCAGCCAATACCTAAATCTTGCTGCTGCTCTATTATACGGTTGCTGCATGCATGCAGCCAACGCTGCAGCAGCAGCAAAAACTGCAAACAATCCTTCTTGCTGCACTTGTTGCTGCAGCTATTCAATACATCGCTGCTGCTGCTGCTGCCGCTGCTGCAGTTGCTGCTGCTGCTGCTTTCCTTGTCGGATACACTGTGGGGCAGCTGAGGGCCTTGGCAACTAGCAAGCGACTGCTGCTGCTGCGTCTCTTGCTGCTGCTGCTGCTGCTGCTGCTGCTTCTGCTGCTGTAGGTACAGCATCTGCTGCTCATCTAGCAGCTGCAGCCCTCTCCCTTGAAGGAATGCATTGCTAACAAGAGAGCGGAGACAGTTGCTGCAGCAGTCACTGCTGCTGCTGCTGCTGCTGTTGCTGCTGCTGCTGCTGCTGCTGCTATAAGGAGACAATTGTCTCCTTTGTCTCTTTGTATAAAAGTGTCTCTCTATTAATAATTGAAATCCTAAGCCTGCATAATCAAATCCAGGTACCCAAAAGGACCTCAGCTGCTGCTGCTGCTGCTGCTGCTGCTGCTGCTGCTGCTGTTGCTGCTGCTGCTGCTGCTGCTGCTCCTTAATTCTTTGGTACCTAAATAGTACATCTTGTATAGTTAGACTCATTAGATGACCAACATGTAAACTTCCTGTTAAATTAGGAGGAGGCATACAAAATATACTCACCCCTCCTGCTGCTGCTGCTGCTGCTGCTGCTGCTGCTGCTGTTGTTGTTTTTGCTGCTGATGCTGGTGCTGCTGCTGCTTGTTTCGGCGGTGGTAGTTCTGCTGCTGCTTGTGGTGGTGATGGTAGTGCTGCTGCTGCAATTTTTGTTGTTGCTGCTGCTGCAGTTGGCTGCTGCTGCTGCTTCTGCTGCTTCTGCTGCTGCAGCTGCTGCTGCTGCTGCTGCTGCGGTTCTATGGGATCGAATAGAGAGAGGGATCTCCACCATTGCTGCAGCAAAGTCTCCATAGAAGAAAAAGGGAAGACAGATTGCTGCTGCAGCGCAGCACGTGCTGCTGCTGCTACATCCTCCCCTATCTTGCTGCTGCTGCTGCTGTTGCTGCTGCTATTGCTGCTGCTGTTGTTAGCAGCAGCAGCAGCAGCAGCAGCACAGAGCCTGCTGTGCGCAAGCCCACTTTGGGGGCGCCAGGCTGTAAGAAATGCATTGTGGTGAATTCTTGGGTGAGTAGCTGCTGCTGCTGCTGCTGTTGCTGCTGCTGTTGCTGCTGTTGCTGCTGTTGCTGCTGCTGCTGTTGCTGATCCCTGAAAAGGAGATTCGTGCAGTGTGTGGCGATTAGTCTTTTTGCTGCAACAAAAGAGAAAAGAACTACGAGGAGGAGAGACACCAGCAGCAGCAGCAGCAGCAGACACCCCCAGCAGCAGAAGCAGCAGCAACAGCAGCAGCAGCAGCAGCAGCAACTGTTGAAGACTGTGGCAGCAGCATCTCATGGAGGCATGTCGTCTGTACAAACTCTCCACTATTGCTCTTGCTGCTGCAGCAGCTGCTGCTGCTGCTGTTGCTGCTGCTGCTACTCCTGCTGCTGCTGTTGCTGCTGCTGCTGCTGCAGTTGAATCATCTTATTGTGTGTCTGTGTCTTTATATTTATTATTATTAAGAAAAAATAAATAATTATTTTTTTATATAAACCCTAAACCCTAAACCCTAAACCCTAGCTGAGCAAGGGGGGGCCCCCACGGGGGCCCCATGGGGGGCCCCCCTTATAAGGTTTTTGCTGCAGCGGAGAAGAGAAAGGAGACAGTCTCCTTTTAGGTGTCTCCTTTTTTTTATTTAATAAAATTAATTAATTGTTTATTCTCTTTGTTATAAACCCTAAACCCTAAACCCTAAACCCTAAAGACAAGAAGAAAGGGTTGTCGTGCTCGTGCTCGTGCTTCTGCTGCTGCTGCTGTTGTTGCTGCTGCTGCTGTTGCTGCAGCTGTCTGGTGTCTCCTGTCTCTCTTCCTCTATCTCCTTGCATCTTTTTATATAAAAGGAGACACTTAACCCTACACCATCAAACCCTAAACCCTAAACCCTAAACCCTAAACCCTAAACACTAAACCCTAAACCCTAAACCCTAAACCCTAACGCTGCAGCAGCAGCTCACCAATACGTTCTTCCTCCCCAATACCCCTATATTGACAAGCAAGTAGCTAGCTAGCTAGCTAGCTAGCTAGCTAGCTAGCTATAGCTATTCCCTAGCTAGCTGACTATACACTCCATAACTAGCTAGCTAGGTTGCCCGCGGCCTATCTATCCAACTAGTTAGCTAGCTAGCTAGCTAGCTAACTAAGTAGCTAGCTACCTAGCTAGCTAGCTAGCTAACTAACTAACTAGCTAACTAACTAGCTAGCTGGCTACCTAGCTAGCTAGCTAGCTAGGTGTATAGATAGCTAGGAAGCAGTTGACTAAAATTAAAATAAAACAGTAAAGAGTCACAGCAGCAAAAAAAAATGCTGCTGCTGCTGCTGCAGCTGTTGCTGCTGCTGCTGCTGCTTGGTGCAGCTGCTGCAGCAGCAGCAGCAGCAGCATACAGCGGAAAGCGGAGGGATTAGGGTTTGTTATAGAGTATCTTCTTCGCTAGAAGATCCATCATCTGCTGCTGCATCTGCTGCTGCTGCATCTGCTGCATTTGCTGCATCTGCTGCTGCTGCTGCTGCTGCTGCTGGATCTACCTCATCCTCATCATCAGTTGCAGCAGCAGCAGCAGCAGCAGCAGCATCTTGCTGCGTATACACCCCACCAGGTTTAATTGGTTTAAGATCATCAAGAGTTAATCCATCTAATAGTTCGCTTATATCTATAGTAGGTATATTCTTGCTGCTGCTGCTGCTGCTGCTGCTGCTGCTGCTGCTGCTGCTGCTGCTGCTGTTGCTGTTGCTGTTGATGCTGTCTTGTATTTCTTCTTCTTCTTCTTCCTCCTCTTCTTCGTCTTCTTCCTGCTGCTGCTGCTGCTGCTGCTGAGTAAGAGACACACGATTCTGTCTCTCTGTTAATCTTCTTGCCTTATTTGCTTCCCTACGTTTTAATCCTTGCTGCTGCTGCTGCTGCTTGCTGCTGCTGCTGCTGCTGCTGCTGGTATTTATTCTTATCTTTGCTGCACCTTTAGGTGCATCTGATTGTTGCTGTTTCTGTTGCTGCTGCTGCTGCTGCAGCTGCAGCTGCTGCTGTTTCTGCTGCTGGTGCTGCTGTTTCTGCTGCTGCTGTTTCTGCTGCTGCTGCTGCTGTTGCTGCTGCTGCTGCTGCTGCTGCCTAGGGTCTCTATATAGCAGCAACTGTCTCCTTAGCTCGGGATCATCTTCTATGTCTCTCTTAAATTCCTCTAAGTCTTCGTCTTCTTCTTCCTCTGCTGCTGCTGCTGCTGCTGCTGCTGCTGCTGCTGCTGTGCCACGTTTGCTGCCATGTCCTCTCCTCTTCCTACTATTATTATTATTATTATTATCTGCTGCTGCTGCTGCTGCTGCTGCTTCCTCTGTGTCTCCTTCCTCCTCCTCTGTCTCCTTCTCTAGTCTCCTTAGTACCCATTGTCTCCTCTTATTATTTCTATGAGGAAAATATTTCTTAACTAATATAACAGGATAAGGAGCAGCAGCAAACCCTTTGCTGCTGCTGCTGCTGCTGCTGCTGCTGCTGCTGCTGCTGCTTCTACTAGTGCAGCACCAATGTAGATCCTCTTCCTCTACACAATCATCAATAAATCCTGATAGATTTATCCTATCTAAATCATAACCTGCTGCATAATCTCCTGCATGCAGCCCCAATAAATGTGTTCTTGTTATTAAGGTGTCTCCTTCTGCTACACCGCATGCATTGCACCGCAGCAACTCTACCTCTACTATACTCCTCTTATTTGTCCTGCTGTTGCTGCTGCTGCTGCTGCTGTTGTTGTTGCTGCTGTTGCTGCTGTTGCTGCTGCTGTTCTTAGCATTATTTATATTATCTACTTGCATACCATCATCACCTGCAGCAGCAACAGCAGCAGCAGCAGCATTCTGCTTCTGCTGCTGCTGTTTCTGCTGCTGCTGCTGCTGCTGCTGCTGCTGCTGTTGCTGCTGCTGCAGTTTCTTTTTGCCCTCGAATTCTTCATCATCTTTATTTTTTTTATTTTTCTTTTTATGCCTATGCTGCTGCTGCTGCTGCTGCTGCTGCTTCTTCCTCTGCTGCTGCTGCTGCTGCTGCTGCTGCTGCTGCATGTATTGTTTCTCCTCCTCTATAGGAGTAACATTAATAACAAGGAAATAAGATAAGTGTCTCCTTGTACATAAAGGTCTAAATTTATATTTATAATAAATAAAAGGAGACACCTCTATGCATACACCAGAGAAAGGACAAAGAAAAAGGAGACAGTTATGTATAAGGAGACAGATAGATATACTAGTAAATCCTCCATAAGCAGCAACAGCAGCAGCAGAAGGTAAATATACTAAATCATCACGGCATACAGGAGGAATAAGCAAAGAAATTGTATATTTATAATAATATTTATTGCTGCTGCTGTCATGACTAATTAGCTGCTTGCTGCTGCTGCTGCTGCATGGTAATCTGCTGCAGCAAAATGATGCAAAACTTGCTGCTGCTTGCTTATTAGCAAAATAAAAATCTAATCCTTCTCTTCTTTGTACTATACGCAGCAGCTGCTGCAGTTGCTGCTGCTGCTGCAGCAGCAGCTGCTCAAGGTATAAGAATGTCCTCTTATGTTCGCATCTTTGTCTTACTTGTACCCGTGCTCCCCAACCTGCATGCGGTGTATATGCCTATACATAAATACATAAATTAATTAATAAATATATATTATTAATTAATTAATTAATTAATTAATTATTTGCTGCTGCTGCTGCTGCTGTTGTTGTTGCTGCTGCTGATTAGGTGGTTCTAATGATGCGTGGGGATGTATACCAACAGCAACAGCAGCAGCAACAGCAGCAGCAGCAACAGCAGCAGCAGCAACAATAATAAATAATAACAACAGCAGCAACAGCAACAGCAGCAGCAACAGCAGCAAAAACCAACCAAGAACAGCAGCAGAACCAAAAAAACATCAAAAACACCACAACAGCAGCAGCAGCAGCAGCAGCAGCAGCAGCAGCACAACAGCAGCAGCAGCAGCAGCAGCAGCAGCAGCAGCAGCAAAACAGCAGCAGCAGCAGCAAAACAGCAGCAGCAGCATCAAGATTAATTACCTGTTGGCATTGAGGACATTGCATATGATGTATAATACCTTGTACATTAAATGTTTGTTGTACTTCTGCTGCACCTCCTAGTATTGCTGCTGCTGCAGTAATACGCAGCAGCAATCTGCTGCTGTGCTGCTCTGTGTATAAAAAAGAACAATCTATTATTCTTGTTAATTTATTTATTCCTTTTATTTTCTTTAAACATAATCCTAATAATTCCCTATAAATAAATATATATAAATATATTCACAAACACCACCAGCAGCAGCAGCAGCAGCAGCAGCAGCAGCAGCAGCAGCAGCAGCAGCAACAGTAGTAGTAGTAGTAGTAGATGAAGGGGAGGGGACAGGAGGGAAGGAGAGGGAAAGGGAGGATAAATGTGTATTCAGCAGCAATAGCAGCAGCAACAGCAGCAGCAACAGCAACAGCAGCAGCAACAAATAAACAAATAACAATAATATTAACAGCAGCAACAGCAGCAACAGCAGCAGCAGCAGCAGCAGCAGCAGCAACAGCAGCAAACACAATAACTATAAAACACAACAACTACCACCATAATCACCACAATCATCATCAGCAGCAGCAGCAGCAGCAGCAGCAGCAAGACAAACAACAGCAGCAGCAAGACAAACAACAGCAGCAGCAAGACAAACAACAGCAGTAATAACAACAACAACAACAGCAACAGCAGCAGCAGCAGCAGCAAAAATGATAAAAAAAGAAGCATAAACAACCAGAAGACAGGACAACAATCATCATAATCCCCATCATCATCAGCAGCAGCAGCAGCAGCAACAGCAGCAACAGCAGCAGCAGCAGCAAAAGATTACCTAGATTCTAATTGACAAT